TTATATGTAATTATTTTTAGTCCGGGCACTTATTTGTAATTATTTTCACTTTCCGGGCACCTATATGTAAATTCCCCTTATTTTTATCCATTAAAAATCCGTACTACTGAATTATTCGAGGTTTCCTGACCTACTATGCTTCACGATGATCACTACCATAATCGCAATCAATGAAATCTTAAATTAAGATACCGATACGCGCAATTTTTTTTGCACCCAATTATGGTAAGAATAATACAATATGTGACACCAATTTCACTAATTTCAGGATAAAGGTCGTACTAAATATAAATTTTGATTCTCATTCTTGTTGTATTGCACATAACGGAGATTTCGTTAGAAACCACCGAAAAGCAAGAATTCAATGTTTATATAGAACAATCTTATGACCATTTGTACCCTTTTTTTTTTAAACCAACGTGAGGTTTTTCTGAAAAAAAAAAACTATCTAATATTTAGACCTATTATCGACGCTGAATTTTTTTTTTTACTTATTCATGTTTTATTTTTTATGTTAATACATTAGTCGAAAATTTTTATGCCATTGTAAAAAAAAAACATGAAATTTCTTTCTTTCTTATCATTCTATAAGTTCACAACGTTTTTATTATATACCATTTTCATATTGATATTGAGAAAAGAGGTATTAAGTCAGGATTCATGCGTATCACCGCCAACTAAACCAATTAAACTTGTTGGATATTATCCTGCCTATAAACCTAATAATTTAAAACCGGGAAAAGATTTTAATATCAGCACATCACTCGATTACTTAAACTATGTTGGTATGCGAAACTGATGCTTTCAATCTATTTAATTAAAATCAATTATGTTTAATAAAGCTACCTTAATTCATTTTTAGCATATGGCCCAAATGACCTTGTTAATAATGTTAATAATATTAATAGTGGTGGAGACCCAGTTTCAATTTTTGGCAAACTAAATCATTATTCTAAACTTAATGATCTGGTAACTTACAGGACTAATAATAAACTAAAATATAAGGTAGGTAATAAATAATATATATACATTAAAAAAGATTTATTATTGGTAATAACTAAATTGCTATGCTGTAGATAATTCTATCAGTCCTGTTACCAACCGATGCGAATAATTTAGCTAAGTTCTTCAATATTCAGACTCAGAATAACAGGACTAATGCAGGAACGAATTCGAATCCGAATTCGAGTCCGAATTCGTATGATCCGAATAGCCAAGCAAATTCGAAGTTCATTAATGACTTAATTAGTGTTGTTACTACCAATAACTTTGATGGAGTAAGATTAAATGATTTTATTTTTTTAGATTATTATTTATTAAATAGTTAATTAGTTTATAATTAATTTATAGATTGACATTGATTATCCTTCGAAGTTCCAGTGCAATCCTTCAATAGGAACCAATTTTTCAGATTTCATAAGTAGCATAGAATCACAATTATTACAATCAGGTATTAGTAATACTAAGATTTTAACGATTACGGCAGGCCAATATCCTCCTGCAAATATGAGCTTCGAAGGCATTAGTTTTGTAAATATTCAGGTAAGATTTAACTTTTTTTTCTTTAAATAATAAGTTATAAATATTTATTTATTTATAAAATTTTAGGCATTTCGTCTTAATATAAATACCGGAAACGCAAGTGCTGGAATAGAACAAATTAAAGCAATCCAAAACTTTTGGAATTTTGCTAGCTTAGAAGATTCAAAATTAGTTTTAGCCGTTGAATTTGGGGAGACACGTAAGAAGGCTGAAAAACGTATATTTGAATTAGTCAATTCCAAGATCGATGACTTTTTGGAAATAGCG